CCACATTAAATTTCTAAAATCTTTACGACTATACTCTTCTGTCATATGGGTGAACCATAATTGAAAACCTATATTATGAGAACATTCAAATACACAAGTACAAAAGTAGAGGAAACACTATAATGGACTCTCATTTATCAGCCAGCTTCAACAAGTATTAACTCAACCTCTGCCCTCTCTCCACCCCGTCTGACCCCAGATTATTTGTAAGCAAACCTCAGGCATCATCTAATTTCATTCAAGTTTCATAAATATAAACATTCCCTTACTTTGGATTTTTTTTCCTATCATCTTTTACTCAGTCTTTGCCCAGATCTCTTTTTCCTTCAAATAGATTCTGAGAGGTTACGTGATAGGGTCATCAAATATGCTCTCTGCTGGTGCTTTGACTATTCTGAGGCTTTGTGATTCTGCCTGATGGCTTTGTGAAAAGATGACGTGTTTCTGAAAGTCTCCCTGGTGTGAGTTCAGCAAAACTCATCCCAGCGCATCCTTCCCAGCGCACCTGCTCTGAAAGGCAGGCACTGGGGCAGTGCTTTTCCGCCTGGGCCTTGGCCAGAGCAGAGCTTGGATTTGGAAGTGACTGTCAGGCTGTCCCGGAGTCTCACTAGAGCTGTGGCCATGGTGGGGCCCCCAGGATGTAAGCTCCTTGAGGGCAGGAGCATCTGATTTCCGGATTTATCACTGTGTTCCTACTGCCTGGGGTACTGCCTGGTCACTATTTGGATGGATTGGGAGGGTGACGCTTCAATGCTGTTCCCCATGGCAGCAGTGGGTACGTATAACAAAGAGCAAGATTGATCACTGTGTCCCACGGAATGTAACATGAAATTTCTGAGGTCAGATGTCTTCAACAGGTCTCCGAAAACTAGCCAGGTCACTTTGATGATGACAAGATGTCGAACAGAAATAAAACTCACACACGGACCTTTCCCCTACGAGGGGTTAGGACGTAAACTCTTAGTATCTCCAAGTCACATGTCTTGGCTTCCGTCCATATCACCAGCTGTACCGGCTTTGCAACTGAGAACCATGTGTCCCCAGCATGCCCCAGTTGACCATCAATCCCCTCAAAGGCTTTCCTTTCACAATTGCAAGTTAGATGGTCAGACGACCTGGCTTTGTCTCCATTGCAGAAAGAAAAGACTGCGGTCCACATGAGACCGCTGAGCATTTCCTCAGCTGTCGGTGGAGCTGCCCTCTGGTGGGGGCTCGGAGAGGTCCATGCTCAGATGTGTCCCTCAGACACGGGGCAGGATTTACGTCCAGGGCCGGGGCCTCCGGAGCCCACGCTCTTGTCACCAACATCCTCCCCTAAAAGAGGTCTGGCTTCACCTGTCTTTTCTGATTGTTTGTATGAGGAGTGACAGCCCACCCTGAGGCATGGATTGGAGCATGTCCTGTGTCAGTGGGTAGACAAAAGTCACAGGACAGAAGTCAGAATGGACTGTTTTTCGTTTGTTTTTGGTGCCTTGACGAACACAGATAAGACAAGGGGCTCTGTGAGGACTCTGGTGCATGTGAAGCACGGTCAAGGCCTTGTGCGTCTGTGTGTGTCTGCTGTGCAGAGCTGTGCGTCTCTGGTGGCAGCTCCTTGGAGAGCAGCAGACGTGGTGGCCCCGGGGGCAGCGTTAGCGGACGGCAGGGAGATGGCAGGATGCTTGCCACCCAGCTCTGGGCCCGAGACTCACACAGCAGTGACCAGTTGGCTGCTTCAGTGTGCCCATCCCCCGGCTCTCAGCACCTCCGCACACTGACCGTCACCTGTCGCCCTTGTTTCCCTCACAGGATGTGAGTGACCGAATAGAGAAGGAGTCCCTGGACGGCCCGATAGTGAAGCAGCTGGAGCGGGGCGGGCGGGCCGTGGTGAAGATGGACTGGAGGGAGAACATCACCGTCCCCCTGCAGACAGGTGATCCACGGAGCCCTGGGCGTCCGGGTTGGCGAGGTGTTTGAATAGCCGTTTCTGAGAAGCACATGTGGAAATGGCAACTCCAGGCGGCTGGGGCTCCAAAGGCCACTTCTGGGGTTGAGGCTTTTCTGTGGTTCGGATACCGATCAGACTGTTACTCTGACGGGTGTTCCGTTTGGTCTCTCAGAGTGACAGGTTAGTGACAGGCTGTCAGTGGTCATTTCCAGTTGTACGAGCGATCAGGAGGTGGAATTCGTACTCACGCTGCTGCCCTCGGGTTCAGTCTGGGAGATGCTCCAGTGCCCTGAGAGGATGGAGTTAGGCTGTGTTTCAGTCTGGTGGCTTAATCCCCAGGAGCCCCAGAAATTGTTTTCTTTTGAAAGCTGTGTATTTGTTACATCGCATTCCTTGTGTTTTTCCTAGATCTGCGTAAATTCAGAACCTATAAAGGCGGCTCCGTCCGAGACCTCCTCCGGGCCATGAGAAATAAGGTGAGGGCCGTGAGCGCTGGGCTGGCGGGGCCCACAGCACAGCTGCCTCCTCCTCGTGTCCCTCCTCTGTGGGCCCCTCCATCCACACTGGAATCGTGACCTCAAGAGGCTGGGAGGCTTTGGCCGCAAGGGAAAAATTAGAGGCTGTTTGTCCCCTAAGTGGATTTTCCCTTCAGGGGTGTTGAGGTGGCGGGTTATGCTCTGGGAAGCGGGCTCTCTGGGGCCCCCTACCGGCCCCAGGAAGCTCCCTCTCCCGGGACCCGCCCGCCCTGGGCCTGGCCCGCGGCCCCTCCCCGCCTCGGAGCCCCGCCCTCCCTCCCCCCAGGAGGGGAAGAGGCGAGGGGAGCAGATAGGTTGTTCCTTTACCGAGACCCAGCTAACGTTCTGTCTGCCTTGAATAAGAGGCTCTTGCCAGCGTTCAGCGGGCTTCCTCACCGCTGACTCCGGTGTCTGTGTCCCGTCTGCAGAAGCACCACTACCGGGAGCTCCCCGAGGAGGTGCGGGAGACGCTGGGCTCCCTCCCCGACGACTTCGTGCGCTACTTCACCGCCCGCTTCCCCCACCTCCTCTTGCACACCTACCGGGCCATGGAGCTGTGCTGCCACGAGAGACCCTTCCAGCCTTACTACTCCCTCGAGCGCCCGGAGTCCCGGCCCCCCATGACTCCAGACGCCCTCTGAGCCGGGCGGCCTCCGTTCTGGTGGCCCCCGCTGTGACTGAGGGCCTGGTCTCCACGGGCCTCACTCAGCCTGACGCCTCCCAGCTTAGCAGGGAGACCAGGCTCTGAAGCCAAGTGCCTTGAGCTGGCCGCTCTGCAGCCGGCAAAGGAGGGTGCTGACCCCTCCTGACCTGCGAGGGAGCTGGGAAGATGTTGGCCCTGAAAGCTTTACAAAGGGGGGGCCGTCCGCAAAGGAGGGCCGGTCCCAGAAGCAGCAAGAGGAGCACCCTCTGCCTTCTCCGGGATAAACTCGCTTCACAACTTGCGTTTCTTTTTAAACTTTCTGTTTGATGTCAACCTATGGGCCTTCAAGGAAGAGATGAGGGTATCCTCAGTGTTGCCTAGTGCTGGGACCAGGAGCATCTCTTTTGGACCAGCTAGGCCGAGATGCACCAAGTGCAGCCTCTGCTAGAAGCAGGGCTCGAGAGGTGAGGGTGCCTGGGAGGAGAAGGATGTTCAGAGGGTGTCGTCCCCCGGGATCGGAGATGCCTTACCGATCACAGATGTGCCCACAGTTTACGAGGTCACTGTAACCAGTGTTTCCTCGGGAGCAGGGAGAGCCTTGAACATGGGGTGGCACGATGTCAGGACAGGTCAGCACTGCGCGCTGGAAGGTGAGGCCGAGCCTGCGGGTCTCTCAGAAGCGAAGAGGGCTCTCTGTCCTGAGGCAGCTGTGGCCTAGCACACAGGTGGCCTTTGGTAGATTCATGTGCTGGGCCACCTGGGGATGTTTAGGAGCATTTGGGGGCAAGAGTTGGTAAGTCCCCTGGCCACCAAGGAGAGCAGCTCAGAACCAGGCAGGGACAGGCCTTAGGACTGGAGGGGAGCAGGCCAAAGGGACATTCGGCCACCCAGGGAGAGCTCTGGCCAGCAGGTAAGCTTTGAGACTGCTCTATCCCTGGGGCCAGCAGGACAGGCCAGGGGGTTGAGAGCCGAGGCCAGGGTCACCACATGCTTCGTGGACAGGCTTCTATGTTTCTCTCAGCAGATTTTAATGACTTTATATTTTGATCATAGTGTAGAATGCTACATAAGCGTGAGCTCAACTTCACTTGAAGCTTACTCATGAGGAAGTAATGCAAGAAATATGACACATCTTCTATTTTATGTGGTACCCACAGTCCCGTTCCCCTCCAGAAAGAGTGTTCATACGCAGAACATTCTCTGATGCTGAAGAGTTAAATGTTACAGCAACACTATATGCATGTGTGAAGTAACTTCAAAGTAATATTTCTAAATTATGTCAATACCATGGGGTTTTTTCCCCCTAAAATTAATACAATTTTTAACTTTAGTTTCAGTCAAAAATTTCTGTCTTCTCTACCGAGAGCCTTAGAGGTTAAATGCAATCAGGGTACCAGTAAGGAAACGTTTTCCGTATACTTTCTGCAGCCGGGGGAACGGATCATTGCAGTTCGGTCCTGGTGAACTGAGACTCCACTCAGCTACTGTCGAGGTTTGCTGACTGGCAGAGAAATCACTGTTTCTTCTTCTTGTGAGATGTTTCTGGTGGTGTATTTGAATGAAGGCTGTTCCTCAAAAACGCTCATTCTGCCTTCAGAGAACTCAGTTCCCTTCCTTTCCTAATACCTAAAGTCACTCTTTTTTCTCCTTTAATGTTATCCTACATCTTTAAACCTCATCAGTTACCTCTCTTAGACCTTGGACCCCGGCATCCTCTGTGGGCCCCGTGGTGTCTTGTGCACACTGTCCGTTTTCCAGGATCAAAGCCAGTCAGTCTTCCTCTCCCCGCTCTGACTCCCCGAGCCAGCCCCTGCCCCTCCCCGCTGTTCTCCATCCTGCTCTGCAGGTCTCTCAGCTGCCAGCTGGCTAGATGCTGAGCCAGTCCAAGCTGAGTGACTTAAAGGAACACGCCAGCTCTCCGCGAGGTTGGGGGGCAGCTGCCTTGCCTTCTCCCTGCTGCTGAATGTTGTCTCGGGGGGAGCCAGGTCATTCCCCGCAGCCCAGGATTTGTGTCAGCTCCCTGTTTTGGCCCAGTTCGTCTCCAGAAAAACTTTTTAAAAAAATCCCTTTTCTGCTTATCATACCAGTTTTTAAGCATGCAACTTTCCCAAACTCATTTATTCAGAGTAATTCCTTTGAGCGCTCACTGTGTCAGCTGGGCAGGACGCAGGTGAACAGAACAGGCAAAAGCTCTGTTTCATAAGAGCTGATGAGACAGAGAGAGAGAGAGAAAGAGCGGTGAGTAAATGTCAGCACCGCCAAGAAAACTCGGGAGTAGGGGGGGGTGCCCTGGGGGTTTGCACCGATTACATCTGGCCAGGTTGCCTTCTGTCCTTCTTCCCTCTGTACCGTTAGGAACCCCGTCCCCTGCCTTTAGGTGGTGTGAAGAGTTCTCATGTGGGCACTTGTCATGGGAACACCTTGGGCAGCATGTGGCTTA